GCTGAGATGAACAGTTGTTGAGATATTTGCATTGGAAATAACAGGAAGTGATGTCAAAGGTGTCTGCATGTAAATATTTAAATAAATAAATGTTACCAATTATTTTAATATTTGAGACAAATTAAAATCATCCTATTTACAACGTGTTAACATTTTTAAGACTTCTGAAGACATTTTAAAGCTAATTAAGGCTTTATTTTTAGATAGATGAATTCAGTGTTTTTAATAAGGACCTGCAGGAACCTGAGGAAGCCTGTGAGAAAAAGTGCAGGTGTTTTAAAGTAAACAGCTCAGTCTCACCTGAGCCAAAGGTTGCAGCACTTCAGCTGCTGCCTTCTCCTCCACGGCCGCCTGCAGAGGCTGCAGAGCCGAGGTGACGGCGGCGTCCAGACGCTCCAACATCTGCTTCTTATCTGGGTCTGTGGTGGAGCCCAGCTGCTGCTGAAACACCTGCCAACATTAAAACAACAAAAGAAATACTTTCAGCTCAGCGTTTAGATTCACAGCTGAACTTCAGCTCATGTGTTCATGTTCTCTCAAACATTTAAACTGATTCTTTTAAAACTGCTGATCCAGTGTCCATCTCTTTGTTTCACAGCAATAATCCAGACTTCCTGTCATGTTTTACAATCCAGCACTCACCAGTATCAGCCCAAGTTTTATGTCTGTTTTTTAGGGAAATGATGAGCGCTAACTCCTTTTTTAAAATGAGGAACAACAGATGGTTGTACCCACCCTCACCCTGCAGGTACAGGATGATGCCTGGATTATAATCTGACCCAGTCTCAGATTCTGAGACTCACCTCTCTGGCGCTCAGGACGTCCTGCAGGATCTGAGCAGCTTGTGGATGCTTCTCCTTGTACTGGTCCAGGAGGTAGTTCTGTCGGGCCCGTGTGATGATCTGAACAAGGAGAAATAAACTCTTAATTTTTATATATTAACCTTTATTATTTTATATCACGTTTTTCTTTTTCTTTCATTTATCTTTCTGTATTTGATCTCAGCCTCTCCTGTACTGAGCTGCAGTAATGTGCACATTTCCTCACTGTGGGATCAATAAAGGTTTATCTTCTTTTCTTCTCTTTTATCAAATCAAACCTTTAAACACCAAACAGGAGCAAACAGATGACTAAATATTAAAATTATTGTCTCTAAAGTTTTACTCAATAAAATCTTTGAGGATCTGGTTCAATGAAACTTGTTTTAACCTGCAGAACATTTCAAAACATTGTTCTTTGTGTCTTTTGTTCAAAAAACCAGCAAACAATAAAAGCTACGTTAAGTAGAGAAATTACATTTCCTGTGGAAACGCTTCTTGCTGAAATCGAGCTGAAAATATTTAAAAGGAAAATGTTAATGTGAGCTCACTTTGAAAAGCTGAAAGAAACAAAAAAGCCTGACTTTGCAGAAAAACAGTAAAAAATCTAGTTGAAAACAGAAAACAGCTAAGAGCTAAAATATCTGGATAATAGCTGAAAACATCTGTAAGAAGCATAAATAACACTAGTTAGCAGAAAAAAGCATAAAAAGCAGAACAATGGCAGAAAGAAGCAGATCTATGGCTAAAGTTTCATAAAACCGCTAAAATTAGCATAAAATAAGCTAAAGGTAGCAGCCACAATTTGAAGTTAGCTCACAGTTGAAACAGTTATAGTTGAAAAATGGCTAAAAAAATTACATAAAAGTGATAATTTGTAGTAAAATAACTAAAACAGCTGAAATCTTCAGTAAAACAGCTAAAAAGTAGCTGGTAATTATTTAATTAGCATAAGGAGCACAAGTTTGCTGAACTCTGTTGAAAAAATTTGTAACAGTTACAAGAAAATATGTATTTAGCTTAGAAAAGCTAACTTTAGTTAATAGCAGCTAAACATCAGCTAAAATTTCAGCAAATAGCTGAATATAGCAGAAAGCATCTGTTAGGAAGCATAAAGAGCTCAACGTAGCTGTAAAACACACAAAAAAGTAGAAAGAAGCAGAATTTTAGCTGAAATAGCATAAAAAAAACTAAAATAAGTTTAAAAAGCAGCTAAAATTAGCACAAGAAGGTGAAAAAGAGCATAAGCAGAACAAATTGTTTAAGTTTCTGTAAAGATTTAGAAACAAGTTAAAGGATTTTAAGGATGTTGAAGACAGCTGGCTAAAAAGTGGCTAAAAAAGTGAAATAACTAAAAAAGTATAAAAACTGAAATACCAAAAGGCACAGCAGCCTCACATGAATGAGCTGAACGTTTTCATACATGAATTGTTGAAAAAGCACAAAAATAGTGGAAGAAGTTAGATGCTGAAGAAATTAAGAAATGATCTCAACAGTGTTGAAGCGACACACAACGATTACATCTATGATCTTCTAGTTTCCTCCTTACTTTATCATCAATATCTGTGATGTTCATACAGTACAGGACGTCATACTTGAAGTAGTCCCTCATTATCCTCCGCAGGATGTCAAAAGAAATGTAGGACCTGGACACAGATTGAAACATTTTACAGACAGATGTCAGCACGTTTGTATAATTTATTTAATTTATGTTATTTATATTACCAGCCACAGCTGAAGACAAACAGGATTTACCTGGCATGTCCCATGTGTGACGCATCATACACGGTTGGCCCGCAGCAGTACCACGTCACAACTTTTCCCTTCTGAGGAACAAACGGCTCCTGAAACATGAAGAAGACATCAGCTGCAGCAGATTTCAGCTCAGAGGAGTAAAACCAGGTCTGTGATCAGGTGTGTCTGTGAGCTGGGCCTGAAGCTTTCTGTTCACAGTTAAAGGGTTAAAATCAGCTTAATGATAGAAGCTAAAACACACAATCAAAAGTAGCACATGTACACACAGTGAGTGACACACCTTTGCTCTGGTCAGGCTGTTGTACAGTCTCAGCTGGGGAACCTCTGTTCCTGCTGGTGGAGACCACYGAGGCTGAACCCGCTTCGCTTTCACTGGAAGAAAGTCACACAATCATTGGTTTCACACTTTTATTTAGGTCTTTAGAAAACTGCAGCTGCAATAATGCAAACACTGATTTTTAAGATTTAAAATGAGTTAAAGTGACATGTGTGTCCTTTAAATACAAAAAGTCAAAGAAAACATCTTTATATGTAGGGGTGTAAGAAAATATCGATACACTGAAATATCGCGATATTTCATTTCCTGATACTGTTTCGATATTCTAAAGCCCTGTATTGATTTTTTATTAAGGTTTAAAATGTCAACTTTCCTGCCAGCCRTTCATTTTTATGTTGTAGTTCAGCCTCTGACCACTAGTTGGCAGCAGTGAGCCAGACATTTGGCTCCTCTACCTCTTGAGGTAGAGGC